AATAAGGACAGAACCTGGAAATTGATTCTGGCAAGTCCGGAAGAAGCCCTATGTTCATGCAGATGGCAGTGACAGAATGGTAAGCAAGACCTTGGGAAGAGTCGATCAGTCTATCAGGGCAGAGCAGGAACTAAAGTTGTTTATTTGAACTATGTTTTCTGAGGAGATGGTTCTTGGCTGCTGCTGGAAACAGGATGAAGATTTGAAAACTCCCTATCTAATCTGCTACATCAGCTTCCGGAAGCCCAAAGAGTTAAAACCTGAGTTAGAAGTATTGCAGACAACAAGGTGCAGGGCTGGATGAACACAGCAGGCCAAGCAGCATCATAAGGAGCAGAGAGGCTGACGTTTCGGGCCTCGACCCTTCATCAGATACAAGCCAGTGTCTGGAAATTAGTTATTCAAAAGTCTGGTCAGAAACCATTGGAGTGACTATTTGGGGTCTTCGACAGATTAATTTGACTATGTTGCAGCTACAGAGGTAGAAATACTGATTTGGTTCGGCTGCCTGTCTTCACGTTATAACACAGAGGAATAAGCATTGCTTACCAACTGCTAATCAAGTATTGCATTTTTATTGTACAAGTGTTGTTTTAATAATAAAACAATAATTATATTTGAGGATAAAAACTGTACTCAGCCTTTCTGGCAGCATCTGTGGAGAAAGCGAGTTTTGAGTACAATAAGTCTCTTCTTCCAAGAAAGCGACATATTGGACTCAAAATGTTAACTATTTCTCTCTCCACAGACCTTTTTCAAACACTTTGTTTCTATTCCAGATTTCCAGCATATGCAGAACTTTGCTGTGTTTGAATGTCCATCAAGAAGCCTGGTTGATTGATCTTGTTGCTTAGAACCTGATATAATTAAGGGTATTTAATTGGCCATCTTGGTAACTGGGAAAACTACTTTTATGATGTGCCCATGAAGTAACAAAAGGGAATTTTTTCACCCTCAGCTTTAACACAAGCTAATGCAAACCTAACAAATGCCAAGTCCTCTAAAGTAAAACAATTTCCTCAAAAGAGACAGTTGTATTTTTTAAATTGATTCCTACGTTTTAACTTCAAGAATGTAACAGGCCAGTCGATATTAGGTTTGTATGCTTATTTTGAGCTTTGTGCATTTTACTGTATATTGCAATAGTACTTCGAACCTCGGTTTTAACATACTTCAAGATGGTGATACGCAACATTCACTCTAAGCAGCATAAACATACAGCCACTGGGAAGTTTTGCATATGTTGACTGACATGTCAATGAACGGCTTTTGCTTCTGGAAGCTGCTGCTGTGCACTGACCTCCAGTATCTGTGCAGCTGCAAAAACCTTACAGGGTGCATTGATGATATGGTGTGATTCTTGCTAGTGTGACTTTCATTTCATCTGGAGAACATAAGCCAGTATGGCTTTTTGAAAATGCCATGAGTTAACTTGTTTCTGAAACATGCAGTTATAATGGAGTCACATAGTTCTTTTCATTGAAAGATTCTAATAGGGTTTGAAATTTTCTAAGACACTTAGTCGCATCAGTTGGGATATTTAGCTTATCATTAAACACAAGGTGTGATGTGAGATATTCTCAAATCAGACAATTTGCTGGTGCCACATTACCTTGATAGAGACTTGTAAAGTTAGTGAGACGAGAAAGACAAGCTGTCATAAAAAGAACGATCCTATAAGTGATTGCTATTTTAAGCAATAAGCCAGAAGATAAAAGGAAGATATATCAGTAAGATGTCCAATTTTGAAGAAACTAATCAAAAAATGGGCATATAATGCTTAGCCAATCCAAAATTGATCCACTGCTTCTTTTTACCTATTCTGCTTGTTACTTTCTCAAAGGATTCTAATAAATTTGTCATGCATGTCCTCCCCTTCATGAAGCGGACTCCGTTTGATGATGTTATACATTAATAAATGCTCTATTACATCCTTCATAATAGGCTTTATCATTTTCACAATGACAGCCCTTTAGTTACCCTCTTAATTAAGAGAGGGAGACAATAAACAGGTATCATTCTGGCAGTTTTCCATTCCTCTAGGACTTCATGAAAGGTTATTGAGTATTGCAGGATTGTAGAGTTAGCTTGCAGGGAGCATACAAATTGAATGCAAAAGATTTAGGTATATAAAGAGAAACAGATGCGTGAAGACAACTACTAGTCCCTAACAATCAGAACTAGGGGAGGTTACTATGGGGAGCTAAGAGATGCTAAACCAATTAAATATATACTTCTCTTCTGGCTTTACAAACAAGGACAAAATCATGTCCCAAAAGTGTTGGGGAACAGGGAGGGACTTAAGGAAAGCAGTGCTAGTAGCAGAATAATCTTGATGGGATTAAAGGATGATAAATCCCCAGGGCCCAATAATTTGCAGAATACTTGTCCTAGAGATAGTGGATGCATTAGTCAACTTTCAAGATTCTGTACACTCTGGAACAGTTCCTATGGATTAGAAAGTAGTAACACAACTGCACTATTGAAAGAAAAGGAAGTAGACAGCAAACAGAAAATTATAGATCAGTTAGCCTGACCTCAGTAGTGGGGAAAATGATAGAGGTTGTTATAAAAATATAATAGCGAAGAACTTCGAAATTATTGACAACATCATGTGGAGTCAGGATGGATTTAAAAGGGAAATTATGCTTGACACATCTACTGGAATCTTTCAAGGATGCAATTAGTACAGTTGATAAGGCAGAGCCAGTGAATTTGGTTTAACTTCGACTTTCAGCAGGTGTTAAATAAGGTCCTATAAATGCGATTAGTGTGTAAAATTAAAGTGCATAGAATAAGGAGTAGTGTACTGACTGGTTGGCAGAGAGGAAACAAAGAATAGGACTAAACAGGTCTCTTTCCAAGTGGCAGCCAGTGACTAGTTGGGTACTGCAGGGATCTATCCTTTGATCCTAGCTATTCATAATATATATTAATAACTTAGGTGACAGAACTAAATACAATGTCTGCAAATTTGCAGACAACACACAGTTGGGTGGGAGGGTGAGCAGTGAGGAGGAGGCAGAGATGTACAAGTGTGATTTGGACAGCAGAAACTGAAAGTATCGAGTAACCCTTCATCAGACTGGAAACATTAACTCTGCTTTTTCTCCACAGATGCTGCCTGACCGGCTGAGCTTCCCCAACGATTTCCGATTTTGTTTCAGATTTCTAGCATCTGCAGATCTTTGTTTCATTTTTGTTATTTGGATAAGTGGAGTGAGTGGACAAATGCACAGAAGATGAAATATAATGTGGATAAATAGCAGGTTATCCATTTTGTAAGTAAAAATAGAAAGGCAGATTTGTATCTGAATGACAATAGATTGGGAAAGGGGGACGCGCAACAAGACCCTGACGTTCTTGAATGCCAATCGCTGAAAGTAAGGGTGCAAGCAGTGGAGAAGGCAAACAGTATGTAGACTTTCACAGTGAGAGGATTCGACTACAGAAGCAGGGATTCTTGCTGTAATTATAGAGGTACTGCACGAGACCACACTTGGAATGTTGTGGGCAGTTTTGGTCTCCTAATCCAAGGATGAATGTGCTGATTATGGACGGAATACAAACAAGGTTCACCAGGCTGATTCCTGGGATGGCAAAACAGATGTATGAATGAGAGACTAGATCAGTTAGGACTATATTCACTGCAGGAAAATGAGGACAGATTTTATAGAAACTTTTTAATTGAACTAGAAAGGGTAAATGCAGCAAGTATATTCCCGATGGCTAGGGAATGCAGAACCAGGGGTCACAGTCTAAGGATATAGAATTGAGATGAGGGGAAATTTATTCAACCACAAAATTTTGAGCCTGTAGAATTCTCTGCCACAAAAACCACAATAAGCCAAAACACTGAATGGTTTCACAAAGGAGTTAGGTATGGTTCTTAGTGCTAAATGGATCGAGGGGAGACAGCAGGAACAAGGTTCTGAGTTGGACAGCCATGATTATATTGAATGGCAGGGCAGGCTTAAAGGGTCCAACGGCCTACTCCTGCACCTCTTTCCTATGTGTCTATGTTTCATTCTTGAACAGAGTGCCATTCTGGACCCCAAATGAGTTTACAAACAATATCTGCTCCACTGCTTATCTCCAACTCCAGTGCCATCTCAGCTATCTGTGGAAAGCCTCATTCATGCCTTTGTAATATTCTACTTGGCTTCTTATATTCCAGCTTCTGTAAATTTGCATTCAGCAAAAATTCTGCTGCCCATTCCCAAGTCACAACGAGATGTATTACTCCAACCATCCTTTGTTTGCTGACCTACATTAAGTTTCCAGCAGAGAAATGCTTCAACTTGAAAATTCCCTGACGGACTAATTCCTTTCTATTCCGTTAATTTCCACCAGCTCCTCCACCCAAACAATTATCAACGCTTTTCCATCCTTCTATCTTGAGCATTCTTTGCTTTCTACTGCTTTACTTCTGGCAGCAATGCACTTAAGTGCTGAGGCCAAAGTTCAGGAGTTCCCTGCTTTGTTCATTACTGCTCATCTGGGAAGGAAATATACCATCCATACTTGATCTGGCCTACGTATGACTTCAGACTCCCACACAATGTGTGGCCAATTTTCTGAAATGGTCACTCAGTTGTACCAATCCACTTCAGATAATGGTTGAGAGGACTTAAAATATTAAAACTTTTTTTATCTTACTTTTCGTTTTGCTATTTTATCTCTCAATCTTTCCTTCCCCCGTTTTTTTTTTTTTTTCTGTTCTGTTCCTTCAAGTCTCATGCTCACTTCACTCTCCTATTTATGTTGCTACATTGGTTAAATACTCAAGTTCTTGGTCATCAAAGTTCCAGATGCCTTTCAGATCTCACTGTCATCAGCTCACACTTCTGGAAGTTTAAGGCCCAAAAGATTGTCAAGCTGAAGGGCGAGGGGTGAAAAGTTGAAATGGGCCCTGATTATTTTTAGAATTCAATGTTAATGACATGGAACAAAAACTGCCATTTTTTGCAACAAGAAATAATGAAAAATAAACAACTTACCAGAAGTCCCAACAGTCAGGAGTCAAAGTCATAAGTTCCCGATCATAGCCTCTCTGTTCAACTAAGAACTGAGCAAAGCTGTCATATATCAGCTGAAAAATTCAAACAAAACACAACATTGGTTTACAATAAGTATCAGAAATAGTATGTTTCCTCTACTACAAAGCGAAGAGCATAGTGCAGAGGTTCTTCAGAGGAAGTATTAATTTGAATTACAATGAAAATACTTTATTTTCTATTTGCAGCAACTCTACTGATAAGCTTTATGTAGCTACAGTATCTCAGACTGTGGCAATTAATATGTAAAGCTCAGCAAGACAAGAACAAATTTTGTTAATATGTTTGTGAATTAGTTTGCAGTTCTCATTTACCCATACAGAATTTTGAGTGACCTTTGTTGATCAGTGCACAAATGTCATGCTGCTGCTGTACAGGACATTTGTTAGGTCACTTTTAGAATACTGCATTCTATTCTGGTCTTCCTGCTATCGGAAAGATATTGTAAAACTTGAAAGGATTCAGAAGAGATTTACAAGATGTTACTGGAAGAGGTTTAATAGACTGGGGCGATTTTCCCTGGAACATCGGAGGCTGAGGGGTGACCTTATACAGGTTTATAAAATCATTTGGGGCATGGGTAGGATGAACAGCCAAGATCTTTTCCCCAGGGTGGGGGAGTCCAAAGCTATAGGGCATAGGTTTAAGGTGAGAGGGGAAAGATTTAAAAGTGATCTAAGTGCGTTTGGAATGAGTCGCCAGAGGCAGTGGTGGAATTACGACATTTAAAAGGCATTTGGATGGGTACATGAATAGGAAGTGATTACAGGAATATGGGCCAAATTGAACTAGATTAATTTAGGAGATCTGGTCGGCATGGAAGAGTTGGACCAAAGGGTCTGTCTCCACACTGTACATCTCTGACTCTGCGCACAATGCTAATAAAATATTATATTCAGTGCTTCACACATTCCCAAAGTTGAACACAACTGATTATTGTTTCAAAATTGTTCAGTCAAGCATTAATTGTTCTTTACTATCATTAACCTGCAAACCCATTAGAAGCATCAAACCTGGGTATCCTTACATTTTAAAAGGTTTTTTCCCGATTCCCTTCCACAACTGTGCGACAGTACCGTGGCTCACTGGTTAACCCTGCTGCCTCACTGCACCAGGGACGTGGGTTCGATTCCAACCTTGAGTGACTGTGTGTAGTTTGAAACATTTTCCTCATGTTTACGTGGGTTTTCTCCAGCTTCCTCCCAGCAGTTTCCAAGAACATGCAAGTTAGGTGGATTGGCCATGCTAAATTTTCCCACAGTGTCCAGGGATATGCAGGCCATGGGAAATGTAGGGTTACAGCAATAGAGTGGGGGGTAGGTCTGGATGGCTGGATGGGATGCTCTTTGGAAGGTCAGTGTGGTGTGGACTCAATGGGCCGATTGTCCTGCTTCCAAGACTGGCAGGATTTTGTGATTCACATTTTCACTAATATTTACAAGATCAGGAGCTTGAATGAAAGTAGCCTGCCTGCTGCCAAGGGAATGAATTAACTTTTAGCAGTGCATGGGGCTTAGGCAGGTGTCTGGAGGTAGGCCACACATCAGCCATGATCTCACTGAATGATGGAACAGGCTCAAAAGGCTGAATGGCTTACTCCCATTCCAATGTATTCAACTGACAATGAATGGCAATCTCACAAAGAATTTAAGGAAGGATGCATTGGATAACTGAATGTTCAAACTTCTCAGTGAATAGATAATCTACTAAGATTAATGTTAGGACATTGCTGCAGTAGAATAGAGGGATGTCAGATTAAACAAGGGGGCACTCAACTCACACACTCAGGCCAACAAAGACCAGGCACTGACATCCTGATAAATGCAAGCAAAAGTTATAAAAATACCAATTTAAACAAAGTGTACCCAATGCATCAATGGTGTACATTTTCACTGCACATATGCATTTTAAAATGATATTTTGAACAACAATCCTAAATACCTTTTACATCTAATGGAAGGTACATTTCACTCAGCAAAGTCAGGACAGCAAACAACTTTATTGCAGTACCATGAATGAAAACTTACCAGTGACATTTGTAACATAGAAACATACAAAACAGGAGTAGGCCATTTGACCTTTGAGACTCCACCACTATTCAATATAATCATAGCTGATTGTCTAACTCAGTAGCATCTTTCCACTTTCTCCCCATATCCTTTGATCCCTTTAGACCTCAGAATTATATCCAGCTCCTGGATTTCTCTAATTCTAGAATCTCTAAGATACCTGATTTTAACGACAAGAGCATGGTAGCTGTGCTTTCACTCACCTAGGCCCTAAGTTGTGGATTTCCCTCCATTGCCTCTGCCCTTTATAACTCACCTCCTTCTTTTAAGGCACTAATTCCTGCCTCTTTGAGCAAGGTTCCAGTCATCTGGCCACATATCACCTGATGTGGTTCAGTGTCACGTTTTGTTCCATAATGCTCCTGTGAAACTTTGTCTAATGTTTGATTACATTAAATCCACTTTACAACACCAGATGCTGTTGTCTGGTCGATTGCAATGAGTGCTGCTTTCATTCCTACCACAAAATTCTATTCAAGGTTATTCCTCAGTAACATCACAGGGGTGTAAAAATTTATAACTTAATGATACATTGCTCATTTCCTGCAAGGAAACCTCAGATATGCAGAAGTATAAAGTATCATAATTATTATCTTGAAGATATTAGTCACATGTATCCATGCTTTAACATAGTTTGTGGGACATAGTTCTAAATAAAAGGAACGCACTGCTAGGGGTGGTAGTGGAGGAGGCAGATAAATGAGAGGCATTTAAGAGGCTTTTAGATAAGCACGTGAAATGCAAAGAATGGAGGGATATGGACCATAGGTAGGCAGAAGGGATTAGTTTAATTATGGAGTCACGTTCAGCACAACAACGCGGGCCGAAGGACCCGTTCCTATGCCATACGGTTATTTATGCTAAATGTTCATTTGCACCAGCCCGTAATTAGAATAAACTGTTGCACTAGGGTAAACAATTTGTTAAGACAAAATATACCTCCCACAAAATGCTGCAAGAAACCTGTATGAATTGCGGATGAGTATCAGTTTTGCATACAGTACCAACATGATCACTAAAAATACCAATTTCCGAGCTGATTTTACAGCAATTCCTGCAACAAACCATTTTTACTACACTTCTTAGAATCTTCAATCACATTCCCAATCAACATGCATCACCAAACCCCTGACAGCAATTATAACTGTCAGAATACAAGGATACAACCCCTAAAATCCCATGCAATTCAAGAGTGAACTTCATTTATTTAAGGAATGGCCCTGTTAATCGGATAACAATTTCTAGCTTCATTGACACAAATATTGCACTTTAAAAAACCTAAAGGAGAAAAAGAAAATCTATCAGCTTCAGTTCTGATCTGAGACTTTCGTACAGGGCACCATTTGAAGTACAGTGTTCATCCTCAGGTTCACTAATACAGATCACTTGCCATTTGAGTGACCTTGCAGTGCGCAATGTGCTCGCTTTGTTTTGAGTACACCTGAAAAATAATTTATTTATTCATTCACTTGCAAATGAAGCATGGAGTGTCCTGTAGATGTAAAATGAGCTAAATGCCTAACACCCAGTCCATGTTGACATCCACAATCGCTCAAAAGATTGTCCAAAATGAACAGAGAAGACAAAGATGCTACCAAAGGCTGGGGAGCCGATGTGGAGAACAGGGGAAGGAGTGGGCCGCAAGCAGGCACTGGGGTTGCAAACGGGGGTGGGGGGGGGGGGGGAGAAGAAGAAGGGGGGGGGGGGGGGAAGGGGAGGGAGGGTGGGGAGGGGAAAAGAGGGG